GAAGGAGTGGCTTTACAACAACTCTGTGACTGTTCTTGAATGGCCCAGCCAGAGCCCTGACTTAAACCCCATTGAGCATCTCTGGAGAGACCTGAAAATGGCTGTCCACCAACGTTTACCATCCAACCTGACAGAACTGGAGAGGATCTGCAAGGAGGAATGGCAGAGGATCCCCAAATGCAGGTGTGAAAAACTTGTTGCATCATTCCCAAAAAGACTCATGGCTGTATTAGCTCAAAAGGGGGCTTCTACTAAATACTGAGCAAAGGGTCTGAATACTTATGACCATGTGATATTTCAGTTTTTCTTTTTTAATAAATCTGCAAAAATGTCAAAAATTCTGTGTTTTTCTGTCAATATGGGGTGCTGTGTGTACATTAATGAGGAAAAAATGAACTTGAATGATTTTAGCATATGGCTGCAATATAACAAAGAGTGAAAAATGTAAGGGGGTCTGAATACTTTCCGTACCCACTGTAGTACTGCACAGTATTGTAACATAGTAAAAATAGATGGCAATAGAGAATGTGAAGTTTCATCACCCCATGTTGAATTTGAGGTTAATGTGTCATTATGGGAGGTTCATACTCATTATCCATCATAGAGATATACACTACATATATCTATAAGTTAATATAAATAATAAATACAGCTGGATACAGTAGTGGGCGCTTTAACTATGTCCAAACGTCCACTTTAGTGTTCAGTTTGAGCACAAACAGGAAAGAAATTGATTCATCTGTGGTGTTTGTGTTATCTGCTGACAGCTTGCTAGATAGCGCTAGCTCCCCAGCTGAGAGATTAGATCAGGGTGCAGTCATTTCTCAGTCTGTCACTCTCATCGACGAGATCTTTAGGCCTGCTGTGAGTTAGCTAAAGTCAGCTAATGTTATCCATTCTGAGTTACCACAAGGGGTCAAGGGGTTTTTCTCCAAAGAGTTTGTACACATTTAGTAAGAGTCATCTGTGCAAGCATGAGATCTTTGTGAAAGTGCAAGGAGCTAGTGGACTGTAAACAAACTGTAAACAGGCAGTTCATTGTTGGTTTTAGTTTGGGGATAATGTGAATACAATAATATAAAAATTACCAGCAAAATATTTTTCAACAGTGTTACCTATCCTGAAGTTTTATTGAGAAAAATGAGCCATTTACTCTATGTGCACATTCATACCTTGGGCCTAGACAGTTAGTTTGTTTATTTTGGTCATGAATTTATAGCCACAAAAGTGGTAGACTGTGGTACTGTACTATGGTAAAGTCTGTGGTAGACTGGTACTGTTTCTTTTCATGTGTTGTCATTCAGCATAATGGTCAGTTAGTCATATTCTCCACTGTGTCTGATTGCCTCAGGGCCAAGGCGGCTGTCATGTGATGTATAAATTCCTTCTCTCTTCTCAGAAAGTGACTCAAGTTTGAGATTAGTCACAGATCTCTAATGCTGCTCTAATGTATGAGGAAAAACACTACACGTAACATTAAGAGGCTAAAATTTCATAGTGAAATTACAATAAGCAAGGTCTACCTAACTATGCACTGGGTAATGAGTTCAATAAAAGTTTGGTCATGGCTGTGTAACTGACAAAATAATGTGAAATTTTGTTGAAGACTGTTCATAGACATTAATGGAAGTGTGCTCTCTCTCTCCAGAGAGTCCACCGAGGAGTGCAATGGGATCAGTGGTGCTCTGTCAGTGGAGTCTGTGCCGGGGCAAAGACTAAATTGGTGTCCCGCCAACACCACCACCCCTGTCACTGCTCCAGCTCTCACCCTGGGACCCATGCCCATGCCCATGCCCATGCCCAACCCTGTTAGAATGGGGGACGGCCTGGATGCAGCGCAGATGTCGGGCGGCAGCAGCAGTCAGGGACAGGCCCAGCCAATGGGCAACCCTTCACCTCCAGAGTACATAAATCCCACCAGGCCAAAGCGCCAGACCAATCAGCTGCAGTACCTGCTCAAGGTGGTGGTGAAAGCCTTGTGGAAACATCAGTTTGCCTGGCCCTTTCAGGCACCAGTGGATGCTATCAAACTAAACTTGCCTGTAAGTACTTGGCTCTGTCTGTATGTCACACATATTAAAACTCAGTAGGCATTACATAGAAATAACCACCAGGTTCTCTGCTTCTACACATTGCAGTTGTACGTTGATTTGTTATGTGTTGAATGTGTACGTAGAGTATTGTTTGAGATATCAGGACTTGTACTCCTTTTAGAAGGACTCGGTTGCATTAATTCTTCTACAGTGTAAAAACAACTTTGATACACATTTTAGACAAATCTTTTATTTTGTTCATGAGTTGTGTTCAATGTAGACATTGATAGCCCAGAAAATATTTAAGCTTATTAATCAATAAAGAGAGTCAAGAGAATCTGCTGTAACCATCTGTGCTCTGCTTAGTCAGTCAAGTAATTTTATTTATATAAGCCAGATATCAAAAATCATATACAGCATATAACACCCTCTATCCTTGTATCGAATAAAGATAAACCATGAAAAAATACCGATGTACTTTTAATGTTACTTTTAACTTTACATTACAGCAGCTTCATCATGCCACTAAAGAATGTCACATTGTTGACTTACTTTTTCAGGACTACTACACAATAATCAAAACTCCTATGGACATGGGAACAATCAAGAAAAGGCTTGAGAACAGTTACTACTGGAATGCCCAAGAATGTATCAGTGACTTCACCACGATGTTCACCAACTGCTACATATACAACAAGGTAAATATGGAAGATTCTGAAATGTGACAAAAGTTTGTTTCTCTTCATTTATAAAAATTGATATTACTCGTTGTAAGGAATGATAATCGAAAGCAATTAAACCTAACCCATTTAAATAAATTAAAAATATCAAATGATTGGACAGACCATTCCTGGAAGGAGAGTTGTTGGGTTTTGGGGCCTTAGCCGTCTCCCTGCAGAGAAATTTTACTCATTTTATTAAGCTACTGATGTGCTAACAGGGCTATATAAAAGGCCAAAGTCCATGGATATTACTGTGAATAACCAGATATCAGTAATGCTCTCTGAACTTGTATCTAAGAAAAATGTATAATAAAATTATTTGTAGACATCATTTGTGTACCTAAAATATAAAAGAATGTCAGCTCATCTGTGTTTTGTACCTGAGCGTGAGACGTTGCTAATGATAATGTTAGCTGTATCTGGGGCGTTACTATGTCTGGGAGACAGCAACACATCGAGCACAGTGCATTCCTTCAGATTCACATGGTGTTGAAGTGAAATTATCGTGTTAGAGGTGCTTCCTTCTTGTACAAGATATCATTACTACAGGGGTTGTATTTTGCTGTGTCATCATCTTTTGTAGCGAAGCTTTGCCAAATTTTTCTGCAGTTTTCTGCAGTCAGCTGTGGTCCAGGATGTAAGCAGAAGCCTCTTTTGACATGCTTTGTTAATGTGTTGCGTAACAAATGACGTGGAGTTAGGTCCACGTCGCAGGTCCTGGCAGATAATTATAACTTTTATGGACTGTAACGCTCATTGCAGTTCACTCAGGAGCATGATTGAAATATGCAACAGTTAGGAACCGAAATGCAGAATCATAATGCACCTATCTTAATGAATCCAAGGTTCTTGGAAATTTGGTACCAGTTCCAACTCGGAACCAGTTCTTGATACTCAACCTTAGATAGGAGACATCATTTTGAGCAGGGCCTTTTTGGCACACATAAGGCACTTTTGCACTTTTGTTCCTCAGTGCTCCATTCAGACATAACCGTGACAATGAACAAGATGAGGGCGCAGGGACCATCTACAAACTGCAACACTGAAAAGAGATACTACAAAAATATTCACTCCTAGAGTAGCCTAGTGTCATCAAAATCACTTAACACATCTGGTCCTGTTTTGGTTAAACCACAACACTTTGTAGATGGTCTCATAGCCGGCTGCATATGCGCTGTTTCATCAAAGTGGCTCATTTTGATCAGAATTAGGTTGTAGCAGTGTCTGCCTGCCTTACTACAGTAAAGAAGTATTGTTTGTGTTTTAACAATGTTTCTCTTATGATTTATTGATCCGAGAACTTTGAAGATGTGAATATCTCATCCTAGAATCGGTACTATACCACTTTATTAAGCTTTTATATTTTTTCAGGGTGAGAACATAACCAGGTGAATTTAGAATATCTGCTATGTATGTCCAAGTAATGTGTAGGCTTATTTGGAGATTTGCTCCAGTGTTTTCAGAGATGTGAGTACTAGCTAGCAGACCAAGCTTTCTCCATGATGTTCGCTTTCCTCTTCATCATCGGACTGCATTGAAATTTCCTGATGTCTTGACTATTCAAATACTAAAATTAAAAACGGATTGCCTACCCAATGAATGAATATCCAAATAGTTGAATAATTGGGTTAATCTCCACTTTAACTAAGAGTGTTTCTCTCCCCTTGCAGCCTGGAGATGACATAGTCTTAATGGCTCAGGAGCTAGAGAAAGTTTTCCTCCAAAAGGTTACCGAAATGCCTCAGGAAGAAACTGAGATTGTTGTAATGACAGGGAAGGGCCGTGGCCGGGGCCGGAGAGATGGCGGTATGTAATTTACCCCTTTATCTTATTTTGTCAACCCATGTTCTTGGAGCTGGCTTCTGTGAGACAGGATATTTACCCATGTGTCGTCTTCTTTCATTAAGGTCTGAACTTGAAACCAGGGGCCATTATTGATTCTTCATCTACGACACCTCAAACACGTGGTCTGTCAAACCTCTCAGCAGCACCGCAGACCAGAGGACCAGTGCAGGGTCCGCATTCACTACCTCCTCAGCCTTTGATGCAGGCCCTGCCATCCCACATGCCCCCAGCATTACCCAGCCACACGCCACAGCACGGAGCTCCCTTCTCCCTAGGCCAGCCAGACTGCCCTCCTCAAGTTCCCGTCATGACTTCTGTGCCTCCCCCTGTTCAGACTTCCCTTCCTCAAGCGTCGATTCAGAGCACTGCCCCTATGCTGCAGAACCCCATAACCATGACCAAAGTGAGTGTGACTGACAGGGAAATATGCTTAGGTAGTTGGGCACATTTATGGCCATGCTTGGAGAGCATTAAATGTGTGGTTATGTTTTTGCATCTCACTTTAATTATTTCCTTGTCCTGTTGTCCCATTTCTCTGCTTTCTTTTTTGTTCACTGCTATCTAGCAAAGAAAGAGCCAGAAAAGGAAAGCAGACACTACAACGCCTACAGCAAATGACCAACTGAGTGAGTCTTCACCAGCGGAGTCTAAATCTGGGAAGACACTACCCAGGCGAGAGAGTACCAGACCTACGAAACTGATGAAGAAGGATGCTCCAGACTCTCAGCATCACATAGGCATGGGGATTGGAATGAGCGGACCAAGTGGAGGTCATAGCCCCAAACCACAGGATCAGCTGGGATACTGTGCTAGTCTGGTTAGGGAAATGCTGTCCAAGAAGCACGCTGCTTACGCCTGGCCATTCTATAAACCTGTTGATGTGGATGCACTGGGACTACATGATTATCATGATATCATCAAACATCCCATGGACCTCAGCACCATTAAGGTGTGTTGAAGATGCTATATTTAATCAAAGGTACCATAAGATATTAAAGAGAGAGGGCTAGCGTCATGGCAAGTAATTCATATCCTTGATGTGCTTAATAGGCCAAGCTGGAGAACAGGCAATACCGGGAACCCCAGGAGTTTGCTGCTGATGTCCGATTAATGTTTTCCAACTGCTACAAATATAATCCACCAGACCACGAGGTGGTAGCTATGGCACGTAAACTACAGGTAAATGCAAAACATGCAAACGGTGTCAGACAAAATTGAAAAAGGCAGGCAGTTCACCTGTATAGAGTTTTATTAAAGTATGCACTTGAAGAGAAGGTTGGCGATTGAATTGTTGTTTGTTTACACTTAGCAGACATATCTATTCTGAATAAACTGTATGCAGCCTTTGCTTAAAGATGTTTTGAAAAAGAATGAAAATAGTGACGTCCAAATTATTTTCTATCAGTTGTTCACAGTACAACATAGAATTTGCTTTTGCCAGAATGTTGCCTCAGTGATCAGTCTGTTACCTAACCATGTTTTGTGAAACTGAACAAACAGTTTCCTCTTTTAACTACGAACCTGGAGGGGAGAAAGTGTGTGTGTATATAATTGTTTTTTATGAACAATAAAACTGCTGGACCCGAGGTTTGTTATTTTGGCCATGTCTTCACATGCCCATTCGATTTCATTTTCTTTTTTTTGCTGTTCAGTTTAATACTTTATTTGTCCCTAAAAGGGCAGTTCAGTGATTAGAAGTATTTGACATACAGAGTTGAAATGCATAAGGATCTATAACAGTGGCCAGTCTTTAGTTGGTTGAACACCACAGAGTCACATATGATGTTTGGAAAAAGAATAAAAGTGAGACATTGTGTTGAATCTATTCCTACAAACAAGTAACACATGCATTTTGTGTTTTTGTTTTCATTTTATAGGATGTCTTTGAGATGTGCTTTGCCAAGATGCCAGATGAGCCTGAGAGCAAGCCTGTGGTTTCTGCCCCAGCGCCTACACTTCATCATCCTGCCCCCGTTAAGCCCCCGCCTCCTCTAGCCCACTTGGCCTCGTCCTCAGACAGCTCCAGCGACTCATCGTCTGAATCTGAGTCTTCCACAGATGACTCTGAAGAGGAGAGAGCCCAGAGGTTGGCAGAGCTCCAGGAACAGGTCAGTCGGCAGAGAGGATTCAGGGTGGTTCAGTTTGTGGTTCAGCTCTCATTAGCCTTAGCTTAGAACTGGTCTCTTGTCTTGACACAGTTGAAGGCTGTCCATGAGCAACTGGCTGCTCTATCCCAACCACAAACCAGCAAGCCTAAGAGAAAAGAGAAGGAGAAGAAGGAGAAGAAAAAAGATAAGCATAAGAAGAAAGGAAGCATTCCTGGTCTTGTAGATGAAATCCAGGATGCTACACCTGTTTCACAGCTCTCGAAAAAAACTAAGACCAGTAACAACACTAACAAAGATGTGGTTACCAAGAAGAAACCCAGGTGGGTATTAAACTGTATCCTAGTCAGACTCCCGCTTAGAGAAACTACTTGTTATTGGATATTAATTTAGCAAACATTGGCTTTGCAGCGTGTTGCATGGTGGTTTCAGTAGTTAATCTTTATTTTGGGTCATCTTTGCCTGTAGCTGTTTAAATTTGTTAGTTTTTTAGGTGGAAAGCACTTTGAGCTGCTTATATAGAAAGTTACTGTGTAAATTAAGGACAGTCACATATTAGTAAATTACACATTTGTGTTTTGCCTCTGTAGTAAAAAGGAGGCAATGAAAAGCAGTCACTCCTCCAACCTGCTGCCAGTTCCCAGCCTTGAAGATGACCTAGGGGCTGCGGGGTCATCAGCTACAGGGGAGAAGTGCAAGCCCATGACGTACGAGGAGAAGAGGCAGCTAAGCCTGGATATCAACAAGCTTCCTGGTGACAAGCTTGGCCGTGTAGTGCACATTATTCAGTCCAGAGAGCCCTCCCTCAAAAACTCAAACCCTGATGAGATTGAGATTGACTTTGAGACGCTAAAGCCTTCCACTTTGCGTGAGCTGGAGAGATATGTGTCTTCCTGCCTCCGCAAGAAGAAAAAGGTTCCAGGTAAGCCACTGTGGGAAATCAGCAAGAGGAACTGGACACTGTTATTATCCAGAAGTGTGAAATTACTATAGGTAAGTAATTCACTATTGTTGTTTTATTCCGGAAATACATGAACATGTAATTGTTTTGTAGTTGAGAAGACTGTGGAGTCCTTGGCTGCCTCCAGAAAGCCTGGATCTTCTTCAGAGAGCAGTGGCTCCAGCTCAGACAGTGAAGCTGAGGGGACAGGTAACTTACCGCTCAAATGGCCTTCATCAGTAACACACAATTAAGTGTCTAATCTTTATTTCACTTTTTTTCAGGAATGATAAAACAGCAGAAGAAGAAGGGCCAGTCTGTAAAGGAGGGTAAGAAGACGCATCCTCATGTTCAGAGCGGACCCGTTCCGACTGGGCTCCATTCCCAACCTGCAGGTCTTCAGTCCAGCAGTCAGATGAAGCAGCAGCAACATCTACCATCCTCTGCAGGCTTCATGGCTCCCCCTGTAGCTGCTCTGGAGTCTTCCCAGTTATTGGAATCTAGCTTTGAGTCTCTGCCGCCTTTTGGCCAGCCCCTCATGCATCTGTCCCACCACACAGGCCACTCCTCCTCACCACCTCCACCTCCTTCCCTCAATGCTCATTCTGCTGGACCAGTGTCCCCTGAGACCCACCCCTTCCTCAACCAGCATCTTGTCCTCCCATCTCCAGGTAAGGCTGTTCACAGGCTGCTGTGCTTTTGACAGGTCCACTACTAATGAATACTTAGCTTCATTATTTCTGCAGGTGTAACTGCACTCCATCTCACACTAAGTACTCCTACAAAAGCAACCAGTCTCCAACCTGCCGTTTTCAAAACTCACGGCTACTTTGTCATTAACCTGCAATAAGCCATATGACCTCATATTTGCACTTAGAAGAACAAAAATCCATCTTATTGCTGGACTAAACTCAAGTCATTCAATATTTAATAGGACTGGTGTTTTGATCACAGCTACTCTATTTTATTTTAACTTACTGTTCAGTAAATATGTAAATAAGCACTGATGTCTCCTGCAGTAGTACCTGCAATACACCCCTGGTCTATACTCATTGCCAGATGAGACTAAACACCATTTTGAGGGACTTTTATTAGCCCCTACTCCAGGGTAGGTACTCTTCAAGCACAATTGGAATCATGAGTGACATGCATGTATGTTGACTACAGGACCACTAATTGTCATTTCCTAAAAACTGTTACCCATGTAGCGATCAATAGCCAGCACTGCTGTCGGCCAACAAAAGCCTCTGCAGAGGGTTAGTAGCTCATTATATAACTAACGTTAACCATTGTGAGCTTGTTGGCTGATCACCAACAGCCAGGCAGCTTGTCCCTTTACTTCAAGTCCCCATGGCTGCTCATTCTGCCCATTTCCAACCATTTAATGTTTTTATCTTGGGTACCTCTAGATTAGCTTGGCACCACTCATAGCTCCAAATAGCCTGTAATTATTTCAGAATGATAAAACCAGGAAATTTCTTCCTAAAAATGAGAGGATAATTTGTGAATGCCCACAGCTCACAAAAAATGTAGGATAGGCTAGTTCAGACTTTACCTCTGGACACACTCAAATATCTTTTGTAATTTCATCGCTTCAGTTTTTCTGCTCTTGTTCCTCCACAGGTTTATCTGTTTGATCTGTGTAACAGTGCCCATGCAGCACAGCTCTAGTATGTGTGGGTGTGCACACATGTGGTAGCGTGCTTTGTTTGATGTGTTTGTTAGATTAGATACTTTTTTTTTTTTTACTGCGCCCCTAGATCAGACAGGCTGGATCCTGCCACAGTCTGGTCCTGTATTTACTGTTGTGCTGTGCAGTTTATATTGTAATCTCACCTTCTGTTGCTACTTTAGTGAACTATTTTTGTCACGGTGAATTCCCCAAAACAAACAACTCTAAATCTCTCTAGATGGCTGTAGGAGCAGGGGGAGGGGACAGGGTTGGATAACCTTGGAGATGGCCTCATACCTGAGAGGTGTGAATTGCCATGACCACTTGATTGAAATACGAATGAAAATCTCCAGCCTCTGGCAGGCAGTTGTGCAGTTTGTCCCTCTCTACATCTCCAAATGACAATGTGCGAGCTGCGCTCACTCCAAGCCGTGCGAGGTCGCATTATTACGAGAAAATACAGTATGTAGTTATAATGACAAAATAGACTACAATATGTTGTTTAAACAAGAGTATATTGAAAGGCGCTGTACCAGAGTCATATTCCTCATGTGTCCATCACACCTGGTTGGTAAAGCTGATTCTGATACTATAATGAGAGAGGTTTCTCCTTAAAACAAGATTTATGCTGCCATAGTCGGTTCTTGTGCATGTTAAACTGACTCCAAAACATACTGATTGTTCACTGAGCTTCTCCTTCTTCATGTTGGTTAACATGTCAACCAGCAACAATGAACACATCAGCTGTGTGTGAGGCTCACAACTGGTCAGCATGTGCCAGAGTTTGGCATCCTGTGCCCTGCTTGTGTCATATAGACCTACAGTGGATCGCTCAGCCACACACAGGTAAAACAGTCTGTTTAAATCCAAGCATCACTTAAGTTAAATGTGATGATGATTGGATCTTCAAGCGCTTACAATGCTGCAACATTATGAATTCCAACCAGATTATGCCAGTAGGCTGGTTCTTTTACCTCTCTTGGAGGAAAAAAAAGTGGTGGCGTGTCATTCTGCTGCGTTCCAGCAGCACTACACCTGCAGTTAATGTGTCCTTTGCTTTGTTGGTAAAACAATATCGCCACAGGTCTTGTTTACGAGAAATCAAAACTGAAAATTGACACCAGAGCAAAATTCAAGGAGGAGTCAAACTAAAGCCGCTTGAGAGATGAATCTGCTCTTTATGCCTTTGTCGCTTTCCCCACTTGCTTTTCTAGCTGAACAAGTAGGCTATAAAATAGTGATCTGTCCGTTAAGACAGTGCAGCGATACCCAGCCATTAAACCCTCGTTCTACTCCTGACAGCAGCTGTGTGATATATAAGATTTCAAATGAATGTTCTCAGACGTTATCTTCTTCATTGTAGCATACTTTACTATTATTAATGTAACTATCTTTAATAGATCTTTGACTAGAAATATGAAACCCAGTGTAGCACGTAATAATTATTTATTTGGTGCAGTACCTGTATGATAAGGATCATGATCACACAGTTCAATTGTATAAACATGACCTAAACAAAAACACAACTCTGCAGTATGAACACAGTACTTCTCGAAGCTCTCATTTGTGTGTTTTTGAGACCAAAACGCCATCTAATGGTGACACTGTGCAAATCAAGGAATGGCTCTTTGGTGAGCATGTTTACTGTGGTATCCAGACATGCCTTACCAGGCAACAGAAGAAGGGGGGCTCACAATAACTGCAAGCCAGCTGAACGCATTCAGCTGGCGTATGCAATTTTGAATGGCTCCATCTGTCTGTAGTTCATGGGGGTGCTCCCCAGTAGGTTAGTTCCTAGAACTGTTAGGCCTGAAAGAGCCCTATGTTGCACTTTAACAGCTCCCCTGAAACTGTCAACTAAAACAGAACTGCTGTTTCTTAGAGATGAAACTTGTCAAGGATCACAATATATTAAGTGTTTGGTTTCTTCTTTCTTGGAACTGTGCACCCTCAGCCTTGCACAGTTCCATGCCTCAGCAGCCTTCTCGACCCAGTCACAAAGCAGCACCTCTTCATCCCAAGCCACCTCAGCAGCAACCAGCACCTTCTCATCAGCAGCCAACCCTACAGCAGCAGCAGCAGCAGCAGCAACAACAACAACAACAACAACAACAACAACAACAACAACAACAACAACAGCAGCAGCACCTCCAGCCCCAGTCAACAGCACCACCACCACAGCATCAGCTCTCCTCTCAGATTCTCCACCCTCCACAACCTCTGCACCAGCGGCCAATGTCCCCTCCAACACTCACACCCCAGGGCCTGCTGTCTTCCCAGCCCCCTCAGATGCTACTGGAGGATGATGAAGAACCAGGGTCTACGACACCTATGACCCAAGTACAGTTATATCTACAGCAGTTCCAGCAAGCCCGTCAGCCCCAGCAGTCCATGCAGTCGCTCCAGGCGCAGGCTCGTCAGCAGCAACAGCAACAACAACCAGGTTCTCTCCTGCAGTCTGTGCAGGGACAGTCTCAGCTGTCTTCTCAGACCACGCTGCCTCCTTCCCAGCTCTCTGTTCAGTCCCAGGCTCATTCGTCACATCAAGCCCTGCCCCAACAGATGCCCCTGCACCAAGCCCGCCACATGCAGCACACCCAGCAGCAACAACAACAGCAGGGACAGCAACAGTTGAACTACCAGCAGGGTCCTGGACTGGCTGGTCAGTCCCAGGGATCACAACACAAGGTATCCATGGCCACCAACAAAGCCCAGCAGCAGATCATCCAGCAGCAGCAAGAGCAGCCCTCCCCTCACCCAACCAAGGCTGATCCTTACAACACAGGTGAGTCTGTAAAGATGAGGCAAAATGTATTGTGTGACTGCTTATAGAAGCAACTGTTGGCTGAAGTTTAACACTCCTCCTTTTTGCTGACAGGTCACATGAGGGACAACCCATCCCCTCTCATGATGCATTCACCACAGCTTCCCCAGTATGCTCCTGTACCTCACCAGTCTCCACCTCACAACTTGCAGCCCAAAAAGGTGAGGAACCTACACTGGGTGGACACAGTATTTCTGAGAGATTAGTACAGGACTGACATTATATTTCCATTTCCTTGCCATACAGCAGAGGGCCCCTGGGAGCCAAGGTGGGTTAAAGGAAGAGAAACTTCCTCCATCACCAGTGATGAGGGGAGAACCATTTAACCCTGCAGTGAGAGCAGACCATCACAAACATCCTGACAGCAAGCCTTCTCAACCAGGACACGGCCAACAGAGTGAGTACCAAGACTTAATTTTCTCCTCTGGCTGTCTGCGGTCAAAACACGCATGAAGAAGAAGCTGCACAAGGTATTGACACCATACCTGTGTGTGTCCACTTGTGTTGAGCAGATGTGAAACCCATGGACAGCTCACGACCTGTCATCCGCTCCTCTGAGCCCAGTGGGCCACCCTCCTCTCTACAAGACAAGGATAAGTTCAAGCAGGAGTCCAAGGCACCCACTGCCCCAAAAAAGGTACAGGTGGGTGTTAAGAGTCACTTTTTCAAATGGTCTGGTACACCTCTTTCAGTTTTTGTGTATGAACTTCCTACGTTCTTAATCTGAACTCTGCAAGAGTTTTGACTTTATCATGATAAATAATTAATGTGTGTTTGTCTTTGTGTGTGTGCGCGCCTGGAATTCCTAACATTATGGGAACCAAAACCTGTTTATACACACACACATTGTGGGGATGTGGCCTTCATTGTCTGGTCTCCACAATATAAATCATTTAATTTTAGGGTGAAGGATTGATTTAAGGTTAGGTTAGGGCTAGTGGGTTAGGAACCGTTAAGGATAGGTTAAGTCCCCAGGATATTAATGCCTGTCAATGTAAAGTCCACATGAGTAATGAAAACAAACGTGTGTGTCTGTTTTCTCAGGATGTGAAACTAAAGAATATGGGCTCATGGGCCAGCCTGGCACAGAAGTCCACTTCTACGCCCTTATCTGCAGTGAAATCATCAAGTGACAGTTTTGAGCAGTTTCGTCGTGCTGCCCGGGAGAAAGAGGAGAGGGAGAAAGCCCTGAAGGCTCAAGCGGAGCAGGCAGAAAAAGACCGGCTACGCAGGGAGCAGGACAAACTACGGTAGGGATGTCAAGAAGAAGACTGGAGACAGACGTAGCAACAGACTTTGTCAGTTGGCTTAAAGCAATGTAGCTCATAAAGGGCAATTTTAGAACAAGAGCGGCTGGACTTGCTGTGACTTTTGGAAAATGTGAAACCATTCCTCTGAAAGGCCCGGTAACAGGATGGGTTTACTTAAAGTGACACTCACTGTGGGGGGGGGTCATTAGACAGTTGCATGAGCTTAACAGACGTTGCTGCTTCACTGTTTACTTCATACAATTAGAGAGCTTCAAAGAGCCTTAACAGCTTAAAGACACACTGTATTGCTGATGCCAGCAACATCAATAATGTGCATGTTTGAGTAATATAAATGTAGAATAATAAATTTAAGACACTAATGTATCTAGGTGCTTGTTGACAAATATGACTTGGGGAACCCTGGACTTGTAAGGTGGATTTCCAACCATAGTCAGCAGCCCCTATAGTTGTCATAGTGAATAATCAAATTCATGAAAATATATAACATTTTGAAAAGCCAAAGTGGGGGAAGTCACTTTCAGGATTAAAATAGAGCTCATCTGGTCTATCCACCACACAACAGGGGTCCTCAGGTTGCTTCTTAGCCACAGTGCTGGTCCCTGGGTCACAAGCCGTTGAAAACCCCATTATAAGGTGATGTGATGTGCCCTCTAGTGGCCTATTGTGGGATCACAACAGCAACTGTGTTCAGTCACCATAAGTGTTGCACTGGGCAGGATTTGACTACTTGGGTCACATGCACAACAATGACACCTATGTACAGAGAAGGTTTAACTCACCAGGGTTAGTTTTCCTTCTAATGTGTGAATTATTGACCTGAATGTTTTCCAGAAGTCGGGATGAGGAGGACATCATGGAGCCAAGCAGAAGGGTGCACGAGGAGCCGCGCAGGCGTCTGGAGCAGCAGCATATCCAAGCCCCTTCACAACAACAACAACAACAGCAACAGCAGCAACAGCAACCAGAGGCCCAGCCTGCTGCTATTCAGCAGCCTCCTCAGCAGCCTCCTCAACCCCCCACACCGCCTCAGTCCGCTACACAGAACCCACTAGACCAGCAGAGGGAGCTAGCACGCCGTCGAGAGCAGGAGAGGAGGAGACGAGAAGCGGTAAGATGATTCTATAGTTTTAATATGATATTAACTGCCATACAAAAAGTAAGTAATTGTAAGAGGTGTGCACATTAGCTGAAAAGCTCTTTTTGAACACAAACAGTGGCATTAATAATTGTTTTTACATTTAAAGCACTAGGAGCAGTTTTCCTTGAAGCTGAGGAGTGATGTATGTTCTTTTCTCTCTCCAGATGGCAGCAACTATTGACATGAATTTCCAAAGTGACTTAATGGCTATCTTTGAGGAGAACCTGTTTTGAGGAGAGGAGCAACTGAAACTTAACTGCAAAAAGAAACAAACAAATATATATATACAACTTGGATGATATACACTTCTTCTAAAGTGAGGTTTGACGACCACAGAGAGACAGGGACTGTATGTAGCTGTGACGGACGGGTACTTGGAGACGAGTACAAACGCTGCACAGGCAGTCAAAGCTCATTTTGCCCTTGTGGACTGAACACACAGCACACTGGGGGGAGGCTCATCGTTTTGGATGGAATTTCCTGGGTATTTGGCATCGCCTGCCTGATGTCTCCCAACAAGAGAGAAAGGACCACTGTTGGCGCAGTTGCCTTTGTCACACTTGCTTCTTACAGAGTTCATGTGCGCAACAATAACAGCAAGAGCAAAGACGTCTCAGTGGCCATGGACATGCTCTGATAATGTACTGACAGACTGTGCAGAGGCGTTTTGAAACTGCCACATATCTGAGGTGGTGAAGAGGACTAGTCCTTTATTCTGTTTTTAGTTGTAAGTGAATGGGAAATTGTGGGGGGTGGGTGGTCACTTCCATACTGTAAATCATGTATATTTCTCAGCAGAGGTACACTTTGCCTTACACCTCTTTCCTAAACGGGCCATTACGTTCTGTGGCCTGCACACATGGACAAACCAGTAACATTTACAAGCAGGACTAGGAGCAGTGCCGATCTTTTTTCATCATCTAGTATCTACTATAAAGAAGTATTTTCTTATACTACAATAACTGTTTATTTTGGATCGTTCGTTTTTCCTCTTTAAATCTTCACACTGACACGCTTTGCCACCCCTGACTATGCCAAACAACACATGATCTTTTATGCTAAATTACTTGTCTTAAAACATGGTAGGTAGCTAGTGGAAAAAAATGCAAATATATGCATTATCATAGTACAAGTAAGTATTTATCAAAGACAGAATCAGTGGAAGTTTTCATCCTGCCTTGTACTTTTTATTTAAAGCTACAGCAGAAGGTTTTTAGCAGCTGAGGAAAAGGTCCAGTTGTTGCTGAGCTTTAGTTGGAGCAAGAATTGCACCATTACCTGTATTACAGTTTGAGACGTAGTGTTGGAAATGTTCATCTCATTGGCCCGTTTACAACAGTCGCACTACTGGACTGGTTCAGAAATGACAAGATGAGGAGCCCCTTGCTGCTCGCTCTGTGTGCGCTCTAATCTTGGAGTGTCTGAGGCAGGAAGGGGACAAGACGAACACTTAACACCTTCTGCATCTGTTACCTGAGTAAAATAGAGACAGCAAGTTGCTCCCGGGTAGTTCCCTGAGGGCGCACTGTGTCCACATTACAAAATAAAAGACGAACGATTACAAGAGTAATGAAAAGGAAAACAGTGGAAAAACTATTTTGGTTTATATCTTTGTTCTTGTTCGATAGTAGTGGATGTGAGTTATACTTCTGTTCTTGGAGACATTGTCTGAACGGGGATGAGTTAAAATCTGAATGCATCTCATCATCTCCACTCGTCTCTTATGGTGTTTTTCTCCAGTGCCTGTATTGTATTGCAGTTCTCGTTGGCTTATATTACACTTCGAGGGGGTTTAGCCAGGGCTGAGTTAGGAACGGGTGGTGTAATATTGGAACAGGAGGGAGAGTTTTGAAAGAGTTTGTGTATTTAAAAAAAAAAAAAAAACACTGAAAAGACAGCATTTTATATTTTATCTGTTGTCAATATTTGGATTTGAAATTTAGTTTTAGCTGGGCTTCTATGCGTGTACACGCCTGACAACTTTCTCATTTTGTCCAGTCAGATTTTAGGTAGATATGTTTCAGCATTGCCACACTAGCTTTTTGAGTCTGATCTGTGTGTGTGACTGTTTTTGTTTTAATTTTCTTTTAGTGTGTGTGTGTGTGTGTGTGTGTGTGGTGCGTGGTGCGTGGAGGCATGTTCCCTGATGTAGATAAACGTCCTATAGAAGAAACAGATAAACAGTACTACTGGAGAACTTGTTTCTGTGCTTATACCACCTTTTTAATTTCTGTGAAGTCCACCGTATATGAATATATTTTTATTATTAGACTGGTTTTGAAAGGGTAAAAATCCTTCATTCCTTTTTAGTCCCTTTCCTTTTCACAGTAACTGTTGGGGATAATGTGCCATGAGTTTTTAAAGAGAATGTGCTGACCTGCAGCTCAGCCAGAGTTTGCGTTATTCAGGTATTTTATTTTGTGTTACATTTTTCTGTTTTGGGGATTTGCAGCATTTTCCTCGATTATTGCTTGGTATGAGTGGTTTATCGAGGTCTCTGATTAAGTCTACTATGATCATTGAATAAACTCATCTCTTTTATAGAAAATAAACAAAACCTGTCGTTTTTTTTAATGTGAAAAGCTTCATGGACCTGGTTGTAGCTTACTCCTCATTTAGCAGATTCTCAGATTTACATGTGCCAAAAAGGACCCAAACGGTACATGTAGCTGGGTTCAGAAATTATTAGTGGTGTTGTGCATGGAGCAACATTGTTCCACTAATTTCAGTGGAAATTGGATATTCAAAAATACAGTTGAGCTTCAGGCTCCAAAGAATCGGTTTTAGAGGTTTTGTACATGAGTTTAAACACTTTTTCCACTGTGTGATGGAGGACACAGACTGGCCAAGTGTCACCCAGAGCACAGAAACATCTGCTGACTTCCCACTATTAAAAAACAAACACAAACAGCAGCTACAAAAAGAGAACCCCTTGTAGCCTGCAGTTAAAGTAATCCTTGCACCATCTCTAAGCTTGAAGATGGTGCACACCTGCATGTCTACATCTGCAGTTTGAAGCTGCTGCTACCTTTATTTGGTACAGTGATACAGGTTGGACTGGGGCTACAACTACTGGCACTGTGGATCAGAAGCTGACATTGAGTGCCCTTGCTTACTAGCAGCATGATTAATGATGATATTGTAAGGATGAGGTCGAAGACATCTGACAAACCATTATTAACCCTCCACAGAAAGCAGGGTAGTGCTGAACTTGCACTGGCTCCACTGTTATTAATAATGTGTACAGTTGAGCAAATGCACTTAATATTACAGTGTACGGTGCAGCACTGTGTTGCATTTCAACAAACAGCTAAACATTTTGCCCACCACTAGTTACTTAGAATATCTGAAACGCTGCCTCCTCTTCAGATTACTTTATTGTGACGTATTAGACAGAAGTATTAGTATGATATAACATCTGACTGGGCCATGGATTTATTAAGACCTCCTATAATACATCTGTTGTTATGACGGCATCCATGGACTCAGCGCTACAGGCTCTAGAAACCGACGGGTGACCTGTATGTATTACAACACTAAATGGTGGCTAACAGCGTTATTATCTGTATAATCGTCATTATTATCAGTATGAACAAGTCATTGAGCTGTTAGTAAAACATCCTAACTTGGTGGTGATGTTCATGTTGGCGTCAAAGCATAATCATTGCTTAATCATTTTAATTCAGTTTGGTCATGTTGTTTTAGTACTACTACAGTACTACTACAGTACTACTACAGTACTACTATATTCCCTAGTAGATATGTGCCCTGAGTGTTAGAATCATGTGATTTTCCTGCCATCCAGTGGTCACATCGAGCAACTACAGTATATTAGTTTAGTCAACATATCGTTAATACAAACAGGAAGGCATACCAACACTTCCGGTTTGTGATTTCAAAAGAAAGTAGGTCAACACTGAAACAACAAACCTACTGTAGAAAATGTAACTATACATTCAGTTCGTGACATATCCATAGGCAGTTATTCGTGATAGTTAATAACAGAAACGGGTTTGCTACCACTTTAATAGGCACGCCTGTACAATTGTATGCACGTAAATCCAACACTTCCGCCTTAAACATGTTTATGAAGCTCAAGCTTGTCAATGTATAAATTAAAATATATTTTTATTATTGTGGTCGTAGTTAAAGGTGGTGTTGTACTAGACTACATTATAATCAGAGGTGCTCCTCATATTCTGACCATCTCTAGTATGAGGTCCGGCGGTAAAGATAATGGATGGATGTGCCTGTTAACGTGTCCGGTCGGTGTATTAACATCGTGTTAATTGATGTTGCTGTTCCTCACTGTGGCCACTGGAGGGCAGTGAATACTCAGGATTCTAAACACACCTCTGGAAAATACTTGAAAATAAAATCGGAACATAATATTCTGTCTACCGTATGTTTGGTAGGTTTAGATAACATGAATGTCTTTACCGATGCTTTTAAAAATATTAACTATCAGTGTAAATAGAAATGTAACCCCCGTCTCTCAGTTAAGAGCTGTTTGCTCCTCCTACACCAGCGGGGTGGGATTCAGTTCATTTTTTCACTTTATGCCTTATTTTCCACTTTGTTTTTAGCATTTCGAGTATTTAACATTTTGTTTTCTCCGCTTTTACACGGAGGCTTTTGCAGCAATGTCTTCCAATGCACGACCTAACTTAAAACACCCTCCACTTTAAACTGATGCTGTCCGAGGAATAGGCTACCTCTGGTTTGGTTAAGATTTATTTATTTATTTTTTCTTTTTTTGGGGGGGTGGGGGTTGTCTGGGGAACAACGATTTGACGTAAACAAGCTTTGTTGTGTTTTTCTCCAATCCTTCAGGAGAATGCGGAAGCAGCATCGTTACCTGTGTCCTGGGTGCAGCTGATTTGAGTCAAAGTGATTCACACTGGCTGCACACGGACAACACCGAGAGCAGCTCCGGGACACTGTTTCATCAAATGGCAGCTGGCTCCGGCTTCGTATGGGACCAGATTGAACGGCAGAGACTAAAAGCGGTAGGTTGTAAAGAATGACATGTTTCTTTTGTAGAAAGTGAAATCAAACTCTCCGCCTGTTCCCCGTAACAGATGACGCATAGCCCGGTACAGGCTATTAGTTGCACATGTCACAGGAAGTAGGCTTAAGTTGTCAACGACGAAGGTTTTCTTGTTTTTAAATGTTGTTGCCCCGGAAAGAAAATTAACTTGTTTAATTGTTTTGTTGTGTGTGTGTGTTGAATATTAGATGGTCTAATAAATAGGCTGTTAGTTTGGTTTCCTGTCTGAGGGAATGTTTCCTCTTTTTTATCTTTGTAAACTGAGTACCTTTGACCTTTGGACTCTTGGTTGGACAAAACGAACAATTTGAAGATGCCACCTTTGGTTTAGGGAACATGATGGACTTTATAGAAGAACCTCAATCCAAGTGAACACGAGTTAATTTGTCAGACCATCCCTAGCACAGTGTCTGTCACCTAAAATACAGTAAGTTGTGACAGTCTAGCCTGAATCTTTTGGACTTGCAGTACAACGTACTGATCCCACTGAGTTTAATAAGTTCTATGGAGATGGCAAGTGGCCCGATCCACAAAATCCACAGTTCAGTACGACACTGTGAGCTTGAGAATGCTCTGTATTTCTATTTTCAAGTTATTATAGTGTTTGAAGCTTAATGGTGAAAATAGAATGTGTGCTGAATTCCTTACTGTAAATACTGTTAACTGTTTTGTGTCTGCAGACATGGCCATGGAGAGCAGCACGTCGAACACCTGCTACTACAGCCACAATGTCACCTTCTTCTACAACAGGGTGGGTAAGAAGATCAATGTAGTGTGGACGACTCGGGACTTTGTGGTGATCGGACTGGGCCTGACGGTGTGTCTGATTGTCCTCCTGGCCAACTTGATGGTGATGGTGGCCATTTTCATGAACCGCCGCTTCCATTTCCCCATCTACTATCTCCTCAGCAACATGGCTGCAGCAGACCTGTTTGCAGGGATGGCCTATGTCAACCTCATGTTGAACACAGGCCCCTGGACCAGCACACTCACTAAAGAGCAATGGTACCTTCGCGGGGCCCTGATTGACATCAGCCTGACAGCCTCTGTGCTCAACCTGCTGGCTGTCGCCTTGGAGCGCCACCAGACCATCCTCACCATGCAGCTGCACAGCACGATGCCCAAGAGGCGGGTGGTGCTGCTGATAGTTTGCATCTGGGCTGTGAGCATCATCATGGGCCTGGTGCCCTCCACATTTTGGAACTGCGAGTGTGATCTGGATGACTGCTCTACTGTCGCTCCCCTCTATAGCCGCCGCTTCCTCATCTTCTGGGCAGTCCTCAACTTGCTCACTTTTTTCATCATGGTAGCCATGTACACTCGTATCTTCTTTTATGTGAGATACCGGAGCCAGTCTGCCTCTCAGCAGACCACAGAGATGCTGCACAGCCAGACTGTTGTCAACCTGATGAAAACTATCTCCATGGTTCTCGGTGAGAAGTTGTGTGTGAGACCATCCACTACTGTGTATTAGTTGTGGGTCAAAGGTGAAGTTTGTATGGTTTGGTTTTTAATTGACCCCAAAATTTACCAGTCTCCCTCTGAAAACACATCTACACTATATGCTGTGTGCAAACTATTGAGGACATTGATTTACAGACACTTTTGCACAGCTTTTATTTCAGGTTCGTCACAGATTAGTATCTTTTTTATTTAAAATTGTGGTAGACTTTTACCTGAATCCACTTCAACTTGTGCAGTGAAGGAAAAAACGGTATGAATTGTTTTATTTTGAAGGTTTTGATACTTGATGCTGATGCACCTCCCGCTCCGCCCCCCCCCCCATAAAAACCAGTTTTGCAGCTTCAGCCTTGTTTGTTTCTCAGATGTTGATTACTGCATATATATTTTTGGTTCAAATGTTGTTGGGAATTTCCAGTTTAACCCAGAGAAACTTTAAGTTATGTTTTTTTGTCATAGTGCACTTCTGTCATTGCTCAGGTGACTTCTTAGGGACGGTAAATCTTGATGTAAGCAATCAGGATACAAATATTGTTTGACAGAGCTGCTCTTTGAGACTGCTGTCACATTACATTGAGAAGCGCTGATTGTATTGTTGTTGACTCTCTTCTTTACTCATTAATAACCCAAATCTCTGCAGGTGCCTTTGTCATCTGTTGGACCCCTGGCCTCGTAACGCTCCTACTGGATGGGCTGCTGGGCAAAGACAGCCATGCCAACGACTATGAGAAGTTCTGTCTGGTGATAGCCGAGTGCAACTCTCTGGTCAACCCCATCATTTACTCCCTGCGGGACGATGAGATGCGGAGGATGTTCAAGTGGATGCTGTGTTGTTTGTTTCAGAGAGGTGCTGTCCAGCAGAGGGAGCCTTCACCTGCAGAGATTGACTCACCATTGCACCAGGTACATTATGTTTCAGTTAGGGCTGATACAGAAAGTTGTTGACCAGTGGAAGATACAACCAGCGATATGAAAACAGTACACATCGAAACATCCGCTTATATCGGTACCTGTGATTTAGCTGAACAAGAAAAGGTCCTGTTTACAATTAGTGCTTACAACACATTTTTGACATTCCTCCTCTGTGAGACGTGCAGGTTTTGACTTGCCAGAGATGCACACACCGATTTCCAAGCAAACCTATCTGAAGTAAAATAAAAGGCTCTAGTACCTGGCACAAGGAGGAGTCGAGAGGTTCCTCCTCGATTTGTTTCATTGTGTTAATCTTGGAACAAAGACTACTTTTCTTATAAACATGTCTGGAGGGAAAACTGCATTAAAAATGTTTTCAGTAAATGTTAGAAAGTGGGACTCAAAATTAAATGACTTTCTTGAAATTCAGAACTTTTGTGCTAAATAAATTTTGTTTTCAGGAAACTCTTGGCTATATCCAGAAGTCAGAAGACCAGGCCCTGTGTCTACCTCAGGACAATAATGAGGACAGTTGGACAGTACCAGGGGTATGATGGCTGTAAACCTACATAAAAAACAAAAGACTACTTGTTATCAGAATGGGACACACTGTGTAAAAGTTAATTCTTTGTTTTGCTGGACATTAGCTAACCTTTGTCTCTTCCATGTTTGTAAATTGAATTTAAAAATGGAGAACATCTATTAAAAAGCTGACGAGGACGGTGTTTCTGGTAGCGTCTCCATGAGGCCGACAGATTCACATTAATCATCAGATGGTGCAATCTCTCCTTTTATTACATTTGACTGTCACAAGAGCAATTGTGACAAATTATAAAATGAAACACTCCTAAAATTGAAATCAGATGCTGAAAAATCACACTAAATCATTTTTATTAATTTTCTATAAGAACACTACAATTTGTCATACTCTTCCTTTTGTTTTACTCTTTCTAGAGCACTTCTAAAGTTGAGGTATAAAAGGAGTTCATACAGACTCAAGTCTGAAAACAGTGGGGGTTATATACAAGAGAAATGGAAAGAC